TCAAATTCTTATATTTTGACCGTTTGAGATAAGGACACCCTCCTCAGCCATGAGATTATTTCCTTCCACTTGAATCCGGTTTTTTTGAAGATGACTCAGAGGCGTTCTTATGAGAAACACACACACATTCTACCATCTCCCTTTTTGGCCAAAGTTAATCCACTGCTCTGTGCTCAAGTGTTGAGTATTCTTAGAGATATGCATTATAGAGAACAACTTCCCTTTATATAAAATATGGTTTCTCAATATCAAGTAAGTAGAATAATCTCTGTAAAATTAATAGAGGTAAGTTCTGAAAGTCTTTGTGAATGACCAACCGCGGTTACAATTAAGTTCTCGTCGTCATCTTACCTTGAGGTAAATCAAAATCGTTACATATTTGAAGAACTAATTACATTAGCGATACCATGACTGAGTGCTATTTTAATTTTCCAAAATTCGCTCATTGGGGAGGTGATTTATTAGTCTTGAGTATAAAGGATCATAAAATTTTCTGGGATATTCAATTTAATTATGAATTTGGGATTAATTTGGTGGGATGTTGGCTTTGGGAAATGTCATAATCGTTTTGAGTCGAAGCATGAGTTATTGGAATGCGCATTTCCGACTCCTTCATATCTGTCATAGAATATCATAATGTGGACTGACCTGCAGCATATTTGACCGCAAGCATCAGTGACTGCTTTGGTTCCAGCATTCATGGTGCCATGTGATTGATAATCGACGATGGAGATGACACCAGATTTGCAAAAAATCTAGGAATGTGCATGTAAAGTTGAGAACACTTGCACTAATCGTTTTGATCGAATTGCCCTGTGTGTGGTAATTCAGCCATCCATACGCCAATTTTCGAGTTATTACGACTTTTTCCCCTGAGTAGCATTCCCCTTTATTAGGCAAGGAAAAGGTAGTCTCATCTTTCTTATCTATGCTTGATTTAAATATTTTCTCGAACTTAAGTGGCTTTGGTATTCTAACAGCGACAAAATCGATTTCCTGTTGATAAAATTTTTTAATAAATAAAACTTGCATTTACTATGTTAACGCCATTTATTTACGTCACATATATTTTACTTGGAAAGGTTTTTACCTGTACTCCATCGCGGGGAACACATCTATAGACATAACCAGACAGACAGGCGGTTGGTGAATTTGTGCTTCTAACGATGCCATGACCACAAATTGAGCTCACTATCTTTAATCGATCCATTAATTTCGATAAGGGTTTCTAGTTTTCGTCTTAACGCCAAGTTGTCACTACGATGCTGGATTAGTGTATTTTTCACTATGACCACTTAGCACTTTTTTGCTTTCCCTCCAGAGCCTTCGTCTGAGTGCAGCCTCTCGTGGAGAGTCTACTACTGGTGAAATCACAAATCTCATGTCAATCGACGCTGGACGTTTACAAATGCTAATGCTCTATATTCATGTGTTGTGGTCAGCTCCTTTCCAAGTAGGTTTGGCCATCTATCTCATCTGGCAACAAATTGGCCCCTCGGTATTCCCTGGTGTCCTCATCCTGCTCATTATGATTCCCATCAACACCTTGGTTGCCAAAAAATCGAAATCCTTTCAGGTACTACTACTATTTGTGTTGATGATAGGATGAATTGGCCTCTTCTTGTCAAATTTACCTTCAAAAGTTCTTCTTTCTATCAGGAGAAGGAGCTGAAGACAACTGACAAACGCATCAAGTTGATTAGCGAGATTCTCAATGGCATACGGGTATATTTACTATTCACACTATTTCCACCTATATTCAACTTCATTTAATATAATTATGCCGTTTTCAGTTTACGACAAAAGTTTACCTGTTTTATAAGTTAATTTAATTCTGCTTTGATGAGTGCGTTAATTCGAGTTAATTAAGAACTCGGTGTATGTTTTTTCAAATAGCTAAAAATACAAAATATTTCCACTGGTCAGACATTAGTTTATTTCGAGTGGTAGAATGGTAACCTGGAGAACTTTCTGCTTAGAAATCAGCTCTGCTACTCACTTTGATCGATATTAACTAGTGCTGTTACTCGATACAATCACTCCCGTAACCTCTGAATTAATCAGCGCCTTCATAGAGATTGTCATTTCTTCGGCTAATGAAGTTCTATGAAGCTTCGAATATTTAGATCTCAGGAGGTAAAAGGCGTGAAGGTCTCATCGTTGATTAAGGAAAATGTGCTCGTACATATTGGTCATCCGATTGGTGATCTAGACATCAGATGATGAAAAGTGTAGTGAACAATGGATGAAGCTCATAAGTTTTGCTCAAGTGTACTAAAAATATTCGACTTTATTTTTTATCAGGTGGCTATTTGAGATAGCGCATATATAGCTTGGAACTAAGGTCAATGAAAGACGTTATTATAGTTAGCAAATGAACTGTTTAAATTGACAATTTTTTGTTACTAACTGCAGTGTTGAGCTTAATACGCAAAAGTCTTTGTATGTAATTAACATTCATTCTCTCACTCTCTCGCTCTCTCTCTATTTTGTCTTCTCTTCCACCATCAAACGATATGCTTTTCCGGATATAAATCTACTTGAAAATCTCACTTTAGCGTATTACTCAACAGCGGAAATTGGCGTTCATTAAGGCTTAATAGAAGTGGAAAGTGCTGTTGTTTTGCTTTGTTAGGACGGAAATTCTGCGAAAAATGTTAGCGTCCTCTTCGATGGACTTTTATTGACCTTTTTAGTGTTTCTTTGACTTGTTGTTTCTTGATAAATTATATTTACCTTAACAGTCACCATTCTGTTCTATTGAAATAGGGTAGAATTTGGTTTTACCCATTCCATATAACTTTTAATTGTCATATTTTCCTAAAGGTTTTAAAACTCTACGCCTGGGAGCCTTCATTCATCAAAGAAGTTGCAAATATTCGACGAAGGGAGCTGTATTATCTTCGAAAATTCCTATTTCTTGATTGCGGTACAACCTTCGTTTTCTCCTGTGCTCCTACCCTCGTTAGTCGCTACTTGATTTTGTTTAAGTAATATATTGGTAATGTACCTGTTCTTAGGATGGA